TTTTCAATACGATATTGTGTATAATCAAGAAAAGCTAATGCAAAACGACGACATTTTATTGTAACAACATAATCATCACCATATAATATTGATTGTGGTTCATCCATTTGATCAAGATCATTACTAGCTTCTTCCATATCAGCTAATGATGATATTAAATTTTTAGCTGCATTACGAATAAATTCCATATCACCATAATCATACATAGATTCATCAAGAAATAAATCATTATTATCAAAATCTGATGGTAAATCATCAAAATCATCATCACTTGCTCGTATTTCATTTTCAATATCATTCTCATTCTCATCATCAATATCATTATTTGCTTCAATTGTACATATAGATTCAATTTTAGGATACAGAATTTCTGATGGTTTTAATGATACTAAAGAAGACGATTCAGTAGTAATTGGTAATTTAAGTTCAGAGAGAATTTCTAAAAAAAAAAAACAAAATTCGAAATAAATTTTATTTTATGAAATATGAACCTATTTGTTGATTAGTTGTTGGTAATGGTAAAATAGGTACTGACGGTTCAGGTTCAAGAAGTAAATCATTTTTATTTACGGAAATTGGTAGTTCTTGTGTGATAATATCAGTTGTTGAAAGTATTGGTTGATTTTCAATAGATAAAATTTTTGATTGAACCTCAGAATGACGTCGTTGTAAATAATTATCCAAATGTTGTTGAGAATATATATCAATATAAATTGGTATCACTCGGATAGGATCATCAAATGGTGTCTTAATTGAACGTATAAGATCTAAAAAAATATTTAAAATTGATTATGTTTTTTATTTTGGAAAAATAAAAGAAATTTCTTGTTGAACTATTTGCTAATGAGTAGACATGCAGCGAATTCGAACATTCAGAATTAATCACTTTTCACTTAATTAATAAAAGGAAACAGACGAAAGATAAAAGGAAAGATTTCACGCTTGGTTATGCTATATCTATATACAGTAGAATAAATGATCCGAAAACGGAAGGTCTGCAGACATCCAATAAAAAGTCAACAATGTTCAGAAATACTCGAATTCGAATCTCAAAGTACTTCCATTATTGGTTGTATTATATCTCAAGAAACATTTGAACACATTCCCAATACCGTCTGAACTAGTTGGATAGTTTTCGAACCAAAATTCGGTACATTGCCTACTAATAAGGATAGAAAACAAAATTTTTACTCAATCCGTATAGATAATTTTCAGAATATACAGAGTGATCTTGTAAATAACTAGACGATAAAAAATTTCAATATCTGCCGTTTGCTATAATAAATCGGGTCGACTTTTTTCTCTCGGTAATAGAGAAGACTCATCAAAGTTTTTAGTCATAAAAAAATTGTTAAATAGATACTACGTAGAACTAGCACTATTAACCGCAATGTGGAAATATACTATTGGTTAAAAGTACCTCACCTTGCAATATCAGCCATTCTTTGGGATAGACATGTGAAATTTTTAGTGTATATTCTACCTTAGAAATATATATTACTGTGAGACTAGATCGACTTTGTTCGCTTGAGTGGAAGAGAAATCAGGATCTAGGACAATCTTTTCATTATGCGGTCTTTTACTGCAATTATTTACTCTATAAATTTCATTGAATTTTCAAAAGTTGCGAACATTTTACAAAATGATAAGTTGACCAGGACATAAACTTCTTCTCTTCTTCATGAATTAAAAATCTCACAATAAGGAAAGCTATCATACATTATAACGCTTCCTTCTAGTCAAAAGATCAAGATCACACTGATCTCGCTGACCTACATATGCTAAAAATTTCAGATATGTAGTTGTAATATAACGGCTGAGGTCATAGGTAGAATACTTTTAACCAATAGTAGTAGTTCTATACAGTATCTATTTATAGTTTTCTTGTAAATAAAAATCAGACTCAAGATATTAAATGTTTCTATCGTCAAGTTATTTATGGGCAATTTTGTAGAAATAATTTCAAAATTATATTTATAATAATATTCTTACCATCATGACAATAAAAATGTACGAAAGCACAAAATGAATAGATTTTAATATGAAAAATTCTTTCATTTTTAAATAAATTTTTAATATCATATTCAGAATATTGTTGATCATATTCAATTAACAATGTTTCTGGATAATATAATTGTATACATTTAATTTGTAATCCATTATATTCAGGATGATTTCGAACATTCGAAGAAATCTTAGAAAAATCTATAAACAGAAAAAAAAATTAAATAATATCTTTTTTTTTTATTCTTTTTATTTTACCAATATCTTCATTATATTCAACAAGAATTGTTTGTTTATCATTCTGATAATATTCATAATGAGTTTTTTTATATGGTTTTGAGACAATATCAATATATAATGGAATACGATTTGTTTCAATTGACATATTTATAAAACATACATGACGCATATCAACTGTTCGTTGTAAAAGACGAGGTATAAAAGTAAATGTTTGAAATGTTATAGATTCATGATCAATAACTCGATCAACAGCTAAGATAATGTAAAAAAAACAAAAACAAAGAAATTCTTTTTATTTAATACATTTATTTTGTTTTGTTTTTCTACTTACTATCTGAATTTTTATAAAATACTTGGGCAATACCTAAATGTTGATAGATTGTATGTGTCCGTATTGGACCTCCATCACATTTGCTATGATTACTAAAGGCTACTTCGATAAAATGAGTTTGAATTTCTTTTGATGGCGCCCAATATATTTGAAGACCTTTTTCAGCTAGAATAGATTAAAATAAATTTTATTCGATATCAAATCTAAATGTTAAAAAAAAAAAAAAAAAAAAAAAAAACAGATCAAATTCGAATAGTTAAATAATAAAATAATTTAAAGATGAGATCTTATTACTTTGAACATATCATAGTTCAATTAACTCTTCGAAAACAAAAAACAAAAAACAAAAACACTTGATCTTAATATGTTTTAAATTAAAACATAAAGTTTTTATTAATGAAACAATCTAGTTCTATGTCAAACATTTATTCCTACTATCAATAGTTGATTGATAGTATACCGCGGGTATAGTGTACATATTATATCGAACGATCTATTACATGGATAAATAAATCTTTATCTAAATGTTTATCATTCTTTAGATTTCATTCGTTTATAAGAAAAAAAAAAAAGAAATTAATTCATTTTCTATCTAAGATCAAATCTAATTCGTTATTCTCTCATACTTTCTATTTATTTTGTTTAATGAATATTTCCATCCAGATTATATAAAACAAAAAGCTTCTTATTAAACTTTCTAATAAATACATACAAATCTGACTTATAATCTGTTGCTGTTGTTGCGTAGGAAGATTTGTTGAAGTTAATAGTGTTCGATTATTAGTTTTCCAAGATGTATTACTATGAATTTGTGAAGTAACTGTCCATCGTTTATTATTTGTAGAAAAAGAAGACGAAAAAGAAGATAATGATGAATATGTTGAGTTCTTAGTAAATGATGAAGATGGTATCTGTTGTTGATGTTGTTGTACTTTTAATGATGGTATACTAGATGAATTATAATTTAATAAATGTTTCTAAAATAAAAAAAACAAAACAATAATAATTGACATTTAGCTTCTTCTTAAATACTTTTAATTGACAATAAATTCTAAAAGCTTTAGTTAATGCATCTAAATCAAGGTGAATTAATGTTCCAAGTATATTTTCATGATATTTTTGTATTAACATATGTGGATATGGACAATTTATTGAACGACGACATGAATTTGTATTGAAATATTCATAACATACATGTAAATTCGAACATGATTCACCATTATTTTGACATAAACCATCATGAAAATTATTTCGACATATTTCAAACTATTGAAAAAATTAAAAACAAAAATTAATAGAATAAAAAAAAAATAAAAAATAAAAATGCAAACAGGCATAAAAAATTCAATACGATTTCGATCACGACTTATTTTAAATATTTCCATATAATTTTTAATACTAGCAAGTACATGTTTCGAATTCGTACATAAACGTTGTTCAAGACAATAATCACATAAAATTGGAACTTCAAAAAGACATGTCTGTTGTTCATAACATAATCGTAATACTGCATTAACTATATCAATATCCATTGTTTTGTTTTGTTTTTTTGAGTTATATAATATTTTCAATTAACCAATCTTGATGTGGTTTTATTAAATTTAATACTACCGGTTTTGAAATATTTAACTCTTCATAGTCTATAATGACAAATACATGAATCATCAAATCAATTTCGAATTAGAAATTCATTAATGCATTTAAGATACAACTCATTTTAAAAAGCTGATATTATTAGCATATGAAACATATCACTATTGGAGATTATTTATGATATTAAACTTTTTTATTCAATTAAAATTAGGAAGTCATTTTTGGCGACATCTCTTGTTTGCATTACTCTCAAGTTAAATGTCATTGAAGTAAAGCATCATGGTTTAATTCAAACTCATCTTCCTCGAAAAATAAAATAGATAGGAGAATATATTATTCGATTTAATATATTTCTATGATAATTTCTTTTTTTGACGTTTCTATCAAATTTAGATGTCGCTTCACTAAGTGCATTCGATATTAATTTGCATTTTTCGACACATTTCAAAGCATTAAATCCACGGATTTTTCTGTTCTGTTGTTAAGTTTCAAGATGAGAGGAGAAATCAAAAAACCTTATTTTAACCAATACGATTTTCATATATATAAATGTCGCTCGTGAACAATATAAATTTTGATAAATTTTTTAATAGTATATTTTTTGTTCGTTATCAATTAAATGAAAAGAAAAAAGAGATAGATAAAAATTGTGAATAGTATGGTTGGTTGGTCGCTTGTTTCGTTATCAATCGAATGAAATATTTCTTTCTTTCTTTCGATTACTTATAAACGAAAAACAATATTTTAAAAAGAATACGGTAAATATTACATATGTTTAGAAGCTGACGATTTTCTTCTTTGACAAAACCTGTATCAAAGAGAATCTTTCTTTCTTTTCTTTTTTGTTGTCGAAAAACTATATCAATCAGAGACCATCACACAGCATTTTTTTTCTCCATGCTCTGTCTTCAGGGCATGTAAACTGAGGTCGATCATGAAATGAGTTGATTATTTAAACGAAAAATTTTGATCGTATTTCTCCATTCAATGCTCATACTTTTTTATATTATTTCAAAAGAATATTATCTATGTATAAAAATAGCGTCATTTTAATTTACTCCCGATGAAGAAATAATCTTTTTAGGCCAATATCCATGCCCTTTTTCTAGCGCATGGATACATGATACCAGTAGCACTTTCATACAAAAAAAAAACAAGATATTCGTCAATGAAAACAGCGATTGTTTGTGACTGAATATCATCATTTAATTGAATCGAAGTCTTTCATCACCTTTGAGCAGCAAATCGAGATTCATTTTTTTATTATTTGCTATGTGCAAACTGAATTTCAGCAAGAATCACAATGAATCTGATTTAAACTGAAAATCAAAATAACTTATGATAACAATATTTTTTGTATATGATGTTATCAACAATAGGCAATTCTAACTTGGAGTCGACGCTTTTTCTCATCATAGTCGGAGCGAGACATATAGTACAGTTGCCTATCGCGAAATGTAATAATGACAGTCTAAAAGACTTAGTGAATAAGTTACAAATAGAACATTATAAAGATATTGCTCGACAAACCGAAAAAAGTTGATCTTAGACATCTTTATTAAACAAAAATGTGTAAGAGAGAGAGAGACTCATTGACTGGATCATAGTGTCTGAAAAACTGTACAGATCATTAGAACAGTCTTAATAGCGCCCAATTCGAATGTGAACAGCTTTCATATACACATGGAAAACTTATAATAAAAAAGAAAAACTTTATAATTCCTTTAACAAAAAATGTCTTTTCAATAAATTTCTTGTTGAATAGAATCAATAAAACCTAATTTAATTCGACAAATGATTTTCGAAATTCGAATTTTTCTATAGAAATCTTTCAAATTATCATGGCTTTATCATCGAAAACTCGTCCATTAAAATTAGTTATCGATACTGATCCTGGTATTGATGATTGTCATGCAATAATGATGGCCTTGTCATATCCAAATGTCGAAATTCTTGGTATAAGTATTGTCACTGGCAATACATCATTAATAAATGGTATTCGTAATATTCATTATCTTTTACATACATTCAATCGAAAAGATATTCCTGTTTTTCGTGGAGCTGAACGAGCACTTGATGGTAGACAAAAATATGCTCCACATGTACATGGTGAAGATGGTTTTGGTAATGTAACAAAAGATAAACAAATTGATTTAGATCTCTTAAGTAATGAACCAGCAGCTGTAGCTCTTGTACGTTTAGCACGAGAAAATCGTGGTGAACTTGTTATAGCTGCAATAGGACCATTAACAAATTTATTTCTTGCACATCGACTTGATCCAGAATTTAGTCAAAATTTAAAATATCTTTATATAATGGGTGGAAATTGTACAATACCACGATATAATACACTTTCAAGTAAATAGGAAAAAAAATAAATTCTTATTAAACTATTTATTTTTATATTTTTTGTCAGTCGGTATTGAATTTAATTTTGCTTGTGATCCATTAGCTGCTTCAATAGTTCTTGAAGAATTTCAAACAATATTAAGAATAATAACATTTGAATTAACATGTATGATGGCAATTCCATTTGATATGCTTGATAAAGAATTTCTTTCATTAAAAGAAAATCCAAATAATCAAAAAGCTCGTTTATTTTCTGAAGTTTCTCAATTTTTAATTGATTTTTCAAAAGCATCACCAACTAATCCTGAATTTTATATAGGATTAGCTTCATGTGATGCTGTTTGTTTGGCTTGTGTATTAGATGAATCAATTATAGAAGAAATCAGACATGTTTATGCATGTGTCGAACCATTTGGAAAATTAGCTTCTGGTCATATGATATCCGATTGGTTTGATCATTTTAAACGTGAACCTAATGTTGAAATTATAGCAAATATTAATAAAGAAAAATTTTATCAACTTTTTCGATTATGTGTTCAAGAATGATTCAAAATTTTATCGTTGAGATTTTTTTTTGTTGTCTTTTTTAGAGAATATCGATTATACTTATCATCAAAAAATAAATATTAGAATTGTTTGTTATCTATATATATATATATATATATACTTTTCTCATATATATGATTTTATAAGTAGACAAAAAAAGATAACATTAGAATAAATATATAATGATAATTTTCACAGATTGATGGCAATGTTTTTGTTTTTTTCTTATTCATATGATGTTGTCTCAGATGAAATTATCAACAGGAGTCAATATCGACTATGTTATGAATGTATTCTTGTACAAGATTTGAATGGTAAACAAAAAAAACAACATTTATGTGGATTGTTGTTCTTCAATTGAAACATTAGTTTTCATTTGAAAATTAATAATACGATCAGTGATAGTCAGATCGGAGTGTACAACTTCCCAATTATGGAAAATCTTTATTTTCTCTCAACAGAGTTGAAATTCTCTTATTGCAAAAAATCCTAGTACTTCTCAATATTAACTGTTTCGGGTTACCACCGAATATGGTTTCCATTATCATTCAATACAGAATCATTTATTTATTCTAACGTCGGTTTTTTTTTTACAAAATACAGTTGTTTATCATATTACTAAATGTTTATATTGAAGCATTTTCTATGAATGTCTACTCGTACATATATACAATAATATTTTATATGAGGATTTTGTTCACTCTTGAATTAGTGAGATAACCATAGGTGGGCTAGAGTAGTTGCCGCTCATTCATCAAAAGAAAGAAAAACATAATGATTATCATCATTGACACTATATTGTATGGATTTCTTCGAAGATCGTTACCCTACTACATATGGTTTCCTGATTCTACCACTATCTTGAATTTTATTTTATAAGTTGTCAATAATGAATGAATTAAATTGATTGATATATATATATACACGAAAAATAGTCTATTATTAAGGGTGGATAAGCCCCGGGTCTTAGGAAATTTTCGTTTTTCCCCAACGAAATTGAATGATTCTCTTCTTTGTTTACCAATGACCGTAACAAAGCTGGACACTTCTTCATGCCGTGAACTCGACCAACTTTGGAACGTCCCCGTCTATTGTTCGATTCTAACTTGTCAATCAAACATTCCAAATTTTATAGCTGTCTACGAACATTAAGATTAAAATCTTATTTTTATTCTATTCAATCGATACAATTTATAAATACTCATCTTTCTAATTATCGATACAATTCAAAAAAAAAAAGATATAAATTCGTTCATCGTTCAATAATTTAAAAGCATAAAAAAACCTAAATTGGTCATTAATGTTGTTTGCTAATCGATTAATATAGATAACTTTTCTAATGTATTGTGACCTTTCATCACTCAAAAATCCATCTATCTTATATTTTTTTTTCTCATCATCATCATCATATTCTTTTCGTTCTTCATTTTTTCTCTCTCATAGTATATCGACAACATTCATCCAATCGATAGACTACTACCATCACTACCATCATCATCATAATCTGCCCTTTGTCAGTATATGCTTGATTCGAACACATACATACATATATATGTATAACTGTTCGACGTTCGGATAGAGAGAAAAATAGACAGGACACACGAGCCATACTGACGGGCTGTTTTTTTTAGTTTGCCCTTCTGTTCTGTCTGAGTTAGATATATTGTGTACAAAGAAAGACAGAAAAGAAAAAGTGGATATCTCGTAGTATAACAAGAATTATAATCAACTTTTATATACAATATATCAACACAGTGTATATGTATATATATATATATATATATTCTTTCTTATTTTTTCTGCTATTTTTTAGAATATAATGATGAATATTAATATCTTTTTATTATTAATTACATTTGTTAATAGTCAAACACATGATTTATTTTCGAATTTTGCTATTGGTGGTTCATCAAGTAGTAATACACTTGATCAATGTGTTGAAATAAATAATGCACGTCCATGTGCAACAATGCCATGGAATATGACAATTTTTCCTAATCTTCTTGGACATACTCGAGCAGAAGGTAAAGTTTTAAAAAAAAAACAAGACGAATTCTTTTATTTTATTTTTTTTTCTTATATTTTATAGAAGCTGATTATGAATTGGCATTTTATGTTCCATTATTTAATATAAATTGTTCGAAATCTTTAAAATATTTTCTATGTAGTATTTATACACCAATATGTTCACCATTACCAACATGTAAGATTTCATTTTCAATTATAGATTATTTTTATGAAATAAAATTTCACTGAAGCATTAGAATCAAGGGAAGAGAAAAGAAAACGAAAGTTCGGTACTACGAAATACGGCTGAAGTATTGATTGGAAAGAATATATATATATATATATATATAATTGATAGAATTGGTGTTTTAATGTTATAGCGAACGCAGATGTTTGTATTAATCTTGGAAATATTTTCTTTGCATTAGAATTTGTCGGACCGAAAAAATTGAATGTGTTTTTCTTTTATTATGACTAAAATTGAAGTTCAAATGAATAAATTTTTGAATTCTATTCAAAAATATTTCTTTTGTTTTTTGTTTTTTGTTTTTAGTAAGTGCTGTTAAACCATGTCGACATTTATGTGAAGAAGCTCGTCGTGGTTGTGAATCTATAATGAAAAAATTTGGTTATTCATGGTCAGTACAACTTCGTTGTTCACAATATCCTATTGATCAACCATGTTTTGAAGCACCAAAAGATCATAATCAACAAATAATATCATCATCAAAAAATGGTTATGAATTTGATAATTCGGATTATTCTGATAATACATGTTCATATCGTTATCGTACAAGTTATCCTGATTTAAAATATAAATTAGATCATGAATTAAATTGTGCAATGCCATGTAATCGTAGTTTATTTACAACTGAACAAGTTTATTTTGTTCGTCATTATGTTGGTATATTATCAATATTATGTTTATTATCAACATTATTTACAATAATGACATATTCAATTGATTTAACACGTTATCGTTATCCAGAACGACCAATATTATATTTATCAATATGTTATTTTATTCTTGCATGTGCATATGTTGGTGGTTTTGTTGATTATTTTTATGGTTCAAATATTGTTTGTAATACAGAAGAATTTTCTTATACAGGACAAACAAGATTTCTTGTACAAGGTACACATAATAAATTATGTGTATTAACATTTATACTTATTTATTATTTTGGTATGGCATCAATGATATGGTGGGTTATATTAACATTAACATGGTTTTTAGCAGCTGGTTTAAAATGGGGACATGAAGCAATTGAATCACAATCAATTTATTTCCATCTTGCATCATGGGGTATACCAGCTTGTTTAAGTGTTGTTTTATTAAGTAAACGTTCAATTGATGGTGATTATTTAACAGGTATTTGTTATACAGGTTTAACAGAAATAAATGTTCAACGTGGTTTTATTCTTGTACCAATATGTATATTTTTATTTGTTGGTTTATGTTTTCTTTTAAGTGGTTTTATATCTGTATTTAAAATTCGTACAGTCATGAAACATGAAGGTACAAAAACTGATAAACTTGAACGTTTTATGGTACGTATTGGAACATTTAGTGTTGTTTATATAATACCACAATTAATATTAATAATATGTTTATGTTATGAACAAAATAATTATTTAAATTGGTTACAAACATGGAAATATGAAGAAAATTTTTGTTTAAATTCAATTAATTGTCAATTAAATGATAATAAAAAAATTCGACCACGTTATGAATTATTTATGATTAAATATACATGTATGTTAGCTATTGGTATAATATCATCTGGTTGGGTTTTAAATGGTAAAACAATAATGTCATGGAGAAATTTTTTTTCACGACAACGACGAAGTTCAGTATCAGAACTTTTGTAATTATATTTGTTTTCGTGTAGCAGACAAAAAAAAATGTTCTCTGGGTCTATGTTCAATTAATGTAAATAGAAACAACAACATAAAAAAAAACATATATGAAATTTAAAGAAATACTTTACATTAACATTTTGTATGTTTAAAAAAAAATAAAATTATTAGTCAATCTAATTTTTTTTTAATAAACATTGAATATATATATATATATATATAATTGACATGAAAGAACTTTCTTTTTCTTTTTTCTATCTCTCACTTAACTAGTCTAGCAACTTATCGGCACATGAACAGCAAATATTTACCTAACGAGAACAAAGAGCATTATTATTTTGCATGATTTCTTTTTCATTTTCTGTAGACAAACACTTGAAAAAAAAATGACCTGCAAGCAATGTGAGCTACAATAACACAAAATGTTATTTATCTTAATCTTTACTTTTCTAACTAATTCTTTAAGTAAGTTAATTAATCAAATTCTGTTGTAAATAGTGTAATAAGTACTTTATAAAATTAATTTTTCAATAATCATTAAGTTCAACGAACAACTTGTGTACGTTGTAATAATTGTTAAGGACAAATATGAATTCGACATACAGTCAAATCTCTACATGATGAACACCATTGGGACCGATGAAAGTCGTTCAGTATAATAGGATGTTCAAAAAGGAGAGGAAATATAAATTCAAATTTTATGTTTATGCTTAAACGATGTTAATAATTATTTTACTTTGTTATCTTTCGAGTTATAATTCATTGGTCAATATAATTTCTTCGTTTTCAGATGCACAAAAAGAAATAATGATCATAAGGAATGGTTTTACAATAACTGATATTAGATTACCTCAATAGAAATTCTCGTCGATAAAAAACTTCAAGGTTCCAACTATAGTTAATTTAAAAATTTCAGCGAAGATTTATCTTACGAGGGAAGTCCTTCAACTGATTAATCACTTTTGAGTCGAGACTATATGCTTCATGTAGATTCTAATGAACTAAGTATACACTGGAAAGAGTTCGAATCTTTAGCTTATTGCTGTCAAGATACTGCCTTTTTCTGTTATTTTTTTAGTCAATATTGTGATGGTCGTCACGGATACTAAGAAAGCTCATTTACGAATTTTGACTTGAAATTGTTCATAGAGACTGGGCTCATCGAGAATAGTTTATGGTAAAAGTTCCAGACATTTTCGTTATTCCTATTCTAAGATACAGTGATGATAAAAGTTTGTCTTTTACAGTGCTCATATATACCCGCAGGTTTAGATTTGATGTTCTTATTTTAGGAAAGGAGCAAATCAAAAGATCTGAAACTTTCACTATAACCTATTCTCTCTAAGATCTATCTCTGTGCAAATTTTCAAGTCGAAATTTGAAAATGAATTTTCATGGTGTTCTTTAAGGAGGACCATGGTAGTGACTTAAAAAAACCATAAAAATGAAGCATCTCAGCAGCAATAAATTAATAGTCCGAACTCTTTTCAATATATTCATAGCTGATTAGGGTCTATATGATGCACATAGTTTGGGGACTTCTCTCGTTAGGTCTAAAAATATTTAATACAAGACTCATAGATCTATTTGCATGTAATACAAAGAAACAATTGAGTTATTACTAAATGACGCTCAGTTGGATAATTGGGCATATTATTCAAATAAAATGAAAAATGTTTTACATAGAAATAATCAAATTTTTTGTGCCTTGAAAAATTCTTCAATTGTCTACTCAGAATTTTCGAATCGAGGAAAAGATTCAGATGTACTCAAGAGATATACTAGTCACAAAATGAAAGCAATATTTAGATCATAACATAATCGTATTTCAATCGATTAAATTCAAATTATTGTTTCGGACGAGACTAATAAAAAAAATCAGAAAATCTAATGTGTTTGATCGAATTCGTATTTTTTATTTATTTACAAGTTTCATTTAAAATATATTTCTCTATCCTTCACTATACAAAATAAAAAAAACATAAATAAAAATTAAACAACAATCAGAATTACAAAAAAAAACAAAACAAAGAAACAAGTGTTTGTTTTTTAAAGCATTGGTAAATTAGCAATTGGACATTTAAATATAAAATCATTTGGAAATAATTCAGCAGCATGAGGTAACATAATTCTATATATGATTCGTATAACACCTTCGGAAACACCGGCTGATTTTTGAATATCTAAAAATAAAATTAATAAATTTTGAATATTTTTCTTTTATGAAAATAATCTTTTTTCTAACCTTTCTTTGTTATCTTTTCACGTGCAGCTAAGCAAGCCATATAAATAGCTGCACTAGCAATAGAACTTGGTGCACGACCTTGAATATTACAAACTTCATTAGCACGTTCAGCAATATGAATAGCTGTTTTTCGTATAAGTATTTCTTGTTCAAGTTGAAGTTGATTACAGAAACGAGGCTTTTTAAAAGAAAAATAAATAATTTGTAAAACGAAACAAAAAAGAAAAATAATATACCACCAAATTTTTTATATCAATTGATTGAATTGCAGTTGGATTTGGTGTAGATAGTTTTATTTTATTAAAACATCGACCAAGTTCTTTTACTGATGCCATTGAAATATCACAAATTTCTATATATAGCACATGAACAAAGAAAAAAAGACTATTTTATTCATAATATTGAAATAAATATATTTCTAATCACCTTTTATTGTACGTGGTGAACCTTCTTGTCGACAAGCACTATAAATACATGCACCAATAATTGCTTCTGATGAATAACCACGTAAACATTTTTTTTCATAACAAAATTTATATATTAAAAATGCTCGATCAATAACTTTCTTTGTTAAATTAATACGTGCAGCCATTGCTCGAATAGCATCATGACCATTTCGTAATGCTTGATCCGCAGATGATATCTGCATAGTTAGTCAATGAGAAAATTTTTTCTTTTCTTAGAAAAGAAATATTACTTGACTTATTTTCTTGTTATATTTTTGTTTTCCTAATTCATCAAGTGCTCCTGCACCTTTCCCTATAGATGTTGTAGTTTCAAGATTAGCATAATCATATAGTAAACTTTGAGCACTGCCAACACGACTCTTATCTTTTGAGTCTGATTCATTTCCAAAATCACGCCATTCAGAACTAACATCGATCATTCTAAAAAATATAGAAATATTTTAATAGAAAAAGAAAAATTTTTGTATCAGTATATTAAAATTCAGTAAAGGAAAGTATTGGGAATGTTATATTAAATATCATATTTTTCAAATATCATTAAAACTATTGAACATAGAAATGAAGTGAAACAATTTTCTTTATGTTTCTCTCAATAGATAATATCGAATTCAGTACGACTTTTAAAATTTAACAAACATCAATCAATTCACTTTTGATATAAATATAGGACTTATTCGTTATGATAAGTAAATCTTACTCCTCTTTTTATGCACAATAAAGATTAGACTATATACAGAATAATGAATATGTAGATTGAACTCCAATGAAAAAGTTTATTAGTTATAACTAACAGAAAGGAAATATTAGCATTGAAAGATGTATAAAGAAAACGTACAGAGAATGCTTTTTTTCACTTTCTATGATCTGATTGAGAAAAATTTTGTAACCCTTATGTGATCTTAACCAACAGAATAGGGTGCGGTAGTCCTGCATATATTTATAAAGAGACATATATTAACTTATATGACTACATCTAGAACGATAAGAATTGGTACATCTTATCAATAATGCGACCTGCTTTCACCTTAATCACTATTCATATATTGGTAAAACAACACTTAACATATTTCATATATTTCAGACAGAAGGAATGTTCCTTTTTGAATATGTTGAATTCATAAAAAATTCTCAACATATTATAGAGAAAAATTGAATTTTTAAACTAGTCTCCTTTTATTCGGTCTTTACCAAAATAGCGAACAATATTCTATAAGACAGTCATAGTTTCATAAGGAAAATTCATCCACTCTCATCATTTCATAATTTTTTCTATTCTCATCGAGTTCTATTTTTGATAACTAAAGTTGAATTTAAAAGCATGGAGAAAGATTGTAACTTTTCTTCATCAGTCTATTCTCAATCTCGGTAATCTTTCAATAGCATAAAAACCTCTAAAATTATTTTTTAAAAAAACAATCATACCGTTCGCCTACAACAAGGCCACATTGTGAACAGATTACATCGCCTGCTCTATAATCTTCAATAAGTGTAGCATCTGGATGATATCGACATGCTAAGACTGTCATACATCTAATTAAATAAACATAATAATAAGAAGAACAATTATTATTTTTTTTTCAAAAACAACGTACTTAGACATTTTCGTTTGTATTTGAATGATACAAAAATAAATAAATAAATAAATAAATAAATAAATATATCTATAATAAAAAGAAAAAAATTAAATAAGCATATTTATATCATGTTAATCTTTCTATTTCTCTCTATATATATATTTCTTATGATTATTGAAAGAATTATCCCAGATTTTCTGGAAAATATAAAAAAGAAAAAAATCTAAACTAAACACACAACTATGATAAAGACAAGTTTTATGGACGCAAAAATAATGAAGTAACGAATAAATAAAAATCAAACAAATAAAGTTTATACATAAACATAGCTCATTTGACTAATCTAAAATTCTGTAACAGAGAATGTTTATTTTAAGGGAAATCTATTTCCCTGATTATTATTATTATTTCGATTTTGATAATAATTATGACCATTATTATTATTATTATATAATCGTCGCTGATAATTATATTTTCTATTATTTTGACAAGAATTTCTATTTTGTTGTTTATTGTTATTGTTAAATCTTGGGAATTGTTGATCTAGGTCAGAAACAAAAGGAACTATTGGTGATTTTATAGTTGAATTATTATTAGAATTGATTGTTGTTGTAATTGGTATTGATTGTGATGTATTAAATATAGTCGATGATGGTTGAATAATTGAATTATCTAGAAAATGTTAAATATATTAATTAATTAATTAATAAAAAGAAGTATACTTACTGAAAGTTGTTGGTATTGTACTAAAAGGAAGAACATTAGCTAATAATTGATTAATAGAAAAATTTGTAGGAATTGTTAAATTCATATTAACTGATGGATTTGATACAAGATTAACTATCGAATTTGTTGGTGGTACTAAAAGAAGAAAAAAATTTATTTAAATCATCTAACAAAAATAAACATTGTTATCTTACTGTTTGTTGTATTAATTTCATTCGGTCGTGAGATATTAAGTAATGAAGAAAGAAAATTTTGTATTGATGCTAACGGTAGATTTGTTGATGTTATAGTATTTGATGGATTAATTTGTGTATCCGCTGTTATTGATGAAACATGATTTGTAGTTACTGTTGCTGAATTTTCTTTTGCTTGTGCAAGAATTCGAGCAACTTCAGGTGATATATTATCGACTAATGATGATGATGATGATGATGGTGAAAGACTTGATGTTGGACTCATTGAAGCTAAAGATATATTTGTTGAAGTTGAATTATTATTATCATCTAAAGATGATACTTGATTTGATACAGATGATGAAGTATTCTAAATATATACAAATAAAATATATTAAAAATCTTTAAAGAATGTCAAAATATTTTCAATATAGTTTCTTAGACGAGAAAATTTTTGAAACACAATCGAAATTTTGTTTTCTTGTAAAAGACAAAAGCTTTTTCAATTATGTTAGATATAGGTATAGAATTATTCTTAAGTTATAAAAAAAAACCAAAATAATTTGTGTGTTTGACAAAAAATTTTTGTTTAAATAAACGGAATGGAGAATATTCGAAAAGTGTTGCTATGAAAGAATAATACCGTGCGTCACAAAAAAATCTCTTCCGGAAAAGAAACATATGTTCGAAACAGTAGTATTATCTTTCGATCATTGATAAAAATTCAAAAACTTGAGCATCGCTTTACTTAAAAAAATTTATTGTTATGTAATTTTAATGATTGTTTACATCAATACAATCATCTGTAATCATTGCATGATAATCGACGTTTAGAATGCGAACATTTCATTTTTAGCATTGAAGGATGTTCATGGTTTCGATCTTTTTTTTTATATGTATACAAAAAGTAATTTAAAAAGATTATTATGATTAATATATCTAAATGTTTCAATCCATCGAGAATTTTATGATGCATAGCATAAAGCTACAAATAGATAAGCATTTTATTATTTTCATGATTAAATAAAATCAATATGCAAATATTTAATTTTCTCGCTTTAATTATCTTATTTGATATATTTTGACATATTTTATTATTATTTATTATTATTCTTACATTATCAAGTGGAATTAATTTTGGTTCATTACGTTCAACAATAGTATTATTTCCAAGAAGATCACTATTTAATTCACCTGGTCTATCAGATAAAAATGAAGATGTACAAAATGTTTTTAAAACAATTTTTTCACGTTTTTGTTGTGCAAGACGTTCTTGTGATTTAATTATTGTGTCAGGCAATAAAATAGGTATTAAAGTTGGAAATGGAAGTAAATTTTGTTTATTATCAATATTATCAAATGAATTAATATCTTGTAAACTTTGTTGTTTACGAAGATCACGTTCTAATAATTTTTCAATTTGTGCTATAGATATATTCATTGCACCTTGATGTGCAAATGTATGCACATCTGTTCCTTCGGAATCATCTATTTCAAAAAATGATGTCTGTACAAGAGCTTGATTTTTTTCATCTGCCCAAATGAGTCTTTTTTTTATTAGTTTTTTTACTCCTGGTGCACTCAGATTACTTTTGATAACTCTATCTAGAAAAGAATAAATAATAATAATAATAATAATACATTTTAAAGATTAAAGAAATAAGATTATACCTTTACTAATATTCTCCATTTTTGGACTAACTACTGATTGATTATCCGATGTGATTGTAGAGTTCTCATCCATAGCTATCGGCGGTGAATTCTAGAAAGAAAAACATAATATTTCAGTTAGTCATAGCAATTCTTTCTCAATATACATTTCAATATAGTGTATGTCTAATAAGTATATGTGGCGGATTGAAGATAGATTAGAAAAAAAATGAGTTTGATTTTTTAGTATGACACTTATTATCATTAAGAAAATAAATTCAACATTCAGAAGTAAACTTAGTTCGATACCTTCATATTTTTCTCGTATGTTGATAATAAATAATCGAGATGATCTATTCTAACGAAGGAACATATCCAACGATTGGATACAGTTCGACTTGAAATTATGACTATGAGTAAGCCTCAATGAGACTAAAAGAAGCTCAGGTCCATGATATAAAGAACTATTATTGGGAGTAAAGCATTTCCGAAAAAACTCGAAAGAAAGAGTTTTGATTTGAAATTTTATCTACCAGCAAATTTCATAGTCATTAAATATTTCTGAAAGTTTCAACAAGAAAAACATGTTCGTTTTCGTTTAAACTTTAGGTCAAAACTCTTTGTTTTGAGTTTTTTCATTAAAACAACTGTAGCTCTGTATCATTAGACCATAGATTCGAACTATTCATAATGATAACAAGAAATAATAATTTAAAAATTTAATTTACTCTAAAGACTTTTTTTTCATTCTATTCAATCTTTTATTTCTCTGAATGAAAAAATATAGATAATTGTTTTAATATCATATTACAAAAATTATTAAATTCAATGATGTATCATATTTTAAGAATATAATAACATTCAAAGCTTTTTTTTTTTTTATAAAACTTTTTATTATTCTTACCTGCATATTTACCATTGCATCTATACGCATATCAATATCACCCGAAAAATTTTCTTCCATGTCGTTCAATTTCAATCGTTTATGTTCTTTATATTGATTTAGAGAAAGTTTTCTTTTGCCTTGTGAAGAATTAAATTCATCATTCAATTTACTAGTTGATAATGAATTTATTTCTGTATATGATGCTTGTGGTGAAATATTCATATTTGTTTCCATTTTCATTTCTGTTGAAGATAGTTTATTAGCATCTGGTGATAAAATACTGTTATTTGACCTGAAAATAAAAATAAAAATAAAAAATAAATATAGAAACAAGATAAAACAAAAAACACATATCAATCGACAAAGTCCATAATCGATTAAAAATAAAAAAAAAACATTGTGGATATTACATCTATCGAATTTTTCTTATTTTATATTTAACAAATAATTTTTTGATCATTTTTTTTTTGTTGACAGAATTTTATTCGATTTGAAAAACAATAGAAAAAAAAAAGAAGAATATATTTGTTTGACAAAAATCTAACATTGATTTATTATCAAACTGACACTTAGATTAAAATATATCAATATTATCTAACCTTTAAACTCTGACAAAAAAAATTATCTGTATAATCTGAGAAAAAAGAAATATACACATATCATTATTAAAAAATAACCTTTAAAATTCAATGAAAATTAATATAGACTTTATCGATCGATAATATCGAATATTTGCCCCGAACAAACCTACCTTTCTATTTTAGGTATACGAAATTTCGGTAGACTTTGATTAAAACTATTATCTTTTTTATTTGTTGATTTTATTAATGATTGTTGTGAATTTGAAATACGATGCTCTACCGATTTATTTGTTATTGTTGAATTTATATTTTCTTGATTTTTACATTGATTACTATTTATACTACAAATATAATTATTTTTGGTTGTTATTGATACTGATTTTAAAGTGGCTGGTGCGGCCATTTTCATATTATTTTGAAATAAAATATTTTTTCTCTTTTCCTTTTTTCTTTAAATAAATTTGAAGAAAATCAAATCCGTTTGTTTCAATTCAAGTTTTGATTTATCAAATCGATGTTTGCAAAAAAACAAAAATTATGGATGGAAGAAATGAATCTAAAAAGAAATAGAAAATATTTTTTAAGATAAAATATAAATTTAAAATAATATACATACCAAGAAAAATTTCTTCGTCAAATATCAAAATGTAACGAGTTCGACTTTCCAGAAAGAAAATTTCGTAGATTGATCAAATGTTCTAATAATGATTAGCAATTTTACAAAATATCTACAAAAAGGAAACGAATATATTAATGAACGGTTTAAAAAATAAAAGTAAAGATGAACTAATGAATTAAAAAAATCCTTGAGAAAACTTATTTTGTTGAAACATGACGAACAAGTTATGTTCTATATCTATCTTAATCGGATCGATATCTTCTCCTTTTTTTCTTTAATTATCTTTATATGTAGGACACGAAGCCCCCTGTCCTCTTTAACCCTTTCTTGCTCCAAATTTGCTATAAGTGTCATCCTATAAAAAAAAACTATTTTTTTTTGTACTCTAAAATATGTCTGGACTAATTATAGATCAAATGAAAACTTATCTATTGTAGATTTCGAAACAATGATTCAATCCTTGATGTGAAGAATATTTATAATCATTCAACCAAGTGACGTGTAAAAAACATCACCAAAAACAGATTGACCTATACTCGTCGCAGACAAATCGAACTTTTTCACGTGATTCAAAAATTTTCCTTTTATTATACTAGAGACAAAATCTAATTTTTTTCCAGATTAGAATGATTTGTATATTTTCTTTCTTCATTCATCGTTGTGCTCGGAACAACAGTCTATGAATTATTTATCACTAGATCTACCTCAATTTCCATCTAATAAGAGTTCTAAATAATAAATATATTGACACTTAACAAACTTGATTAAAAACTTTTCTATGTATATTAGGGATCATTAAGTTAATTTTTGTGAGCGAATTTCAATTCTAAATCTTCAAATTTAGCTAAAGAAAAGAAAGGGTTAACTTAACCCAGAGCAATTCAACCATTCTAAACCTTAACTTATGAATAGTAAAGCTTAAATCGCGTAAAATATTTAATATATGCATAAGACATGAATATTTCTGATCATTATTAAAATATGAAAACCATTTGCATAAAAAAAAAAAAAATGTTAAAACTTCATTTAATAATTGTTCATGCTTTTATTATATTTCCATATTGTGTTGGTTTAAGAATTCGTGATACAATTGATCATTGATTGTAATAATAATTCACAAATATTATATATAATAGATTATTGAATAATTTAATTACCTTTTTATTTTTTGTTTTACAACTATGAATATTATTTCATCTTATTAATTGTAAACTATAGGATGAACAGGATGCTAATAGATAATTTAATTTCACCATATAGACAAATTATTTTATTTATTTTCTATCTGACATATTTTTAAAATATCATCTAATACTTTAGATATAATATAAAACCATTTTGCTTATAAAGAGTATTATAAGAAAGAACTTAAAAAAAAAAAAAAAAAAATCGATTAATAATAAAAACTAAATACCATCAAACAATAACTATTGTTATTATGTCGATTGTTGTTGACAAGGAGTGATGAAAAAAAAAGAAAAAGAAACTAAAAAGAACAAGTTATTCGCATTAAGCCGGTTAAACGAACATACAAGAAAAAACCAACCACTCAGGTTTCTTTTTTTTTTATTACTAACTGTTCCCTTTTTGCCAACAGAATAGAAAGACAACGAAGTTGTTTTGGGTTTTTTCCCTTTATATGATTCATGAAAAACAAAATGAATAATCTATATTACATATTATTGTGTAATGACATGCAAGTTTCAATTTTTTTTCTTTCGTCATTACGAATATTCGACGTCAATCTAGAATCTGCTGATAGAATAGAAATTTTTCCATAACATGTTTGTAAACACACGAACAAGATTTTTCTATATCAGATAAAAAAATATTGACTTAATATAATAATGATGATATTTGTACAATAAATGAAGAAAACATGCAATAATAATATTTTTTTTTCCACATATGTAAATCATTTTAAGACAAAAAGAACAAGATCTTTTGAAATAACTAAATACCAGGAAACAATTTGGATATAGATAATACTCAATTATTCACAATACATTCAGATAAAATTGATTGTATATTAATTAATATAATTCCTAAAAATTTAACTTTATCATTCTAAAGTTTTATATACAAAAATTAAATGAAAATCTTTTTTTTTCATGAGAAAAATTAAATCTATTAAACTAAAATTACAAACGCTTCATTTGATAGCCAAATATTGAAATTATTTTTTCTATTGCACAAGATATTTACTAAGATTTTTTCTTATATATGATGGTTGCCACATAATAGGTATTTCCGCAATATGATTTTTTCGAAATGTAAATATTGTATTTGTAGGTAAACCAATAACATCTTCTCCTAATCGATATATATCTAATGTTTTACCCCAAAAAGTACCATCTTTAATTTTAAGTATTTCAAAATATAGTGCTTCCCATATTACTTGCTCTGATGATTCATTTCTTATAATACAACGTACAATACAACCGACTTGTAGTTTATCAAGAGCACATTTTGATATTGTTTGACCATTCCAATCATATAAACATCTTGCCTCTTGTGGAAAGAGTATACGGTGCATCTGACGTGTCGTATGACTTTAACATATATATGAGAAATATAGAAATGTATTACGTATATATATATATATATATGACATAATAGGAGGAAAAAAAAATGATGAAATTTCTTTTTCTCATTGAGTCATGATGTTGTAGATTTTTTTCATTGGTTGAATAATATCATCACTATTGGGTTTTTTCTTTGTAATAATAATAATAATAAAAGTATGTGTAATATTCGAAAAATTATGAAATTTAAATTTTTATATCATAATCATAATTAAATAAGATTAGATTTAATAAAATATAAAACTATGATAAGAATCTTTCTTTTAATCTATCATTAATCATTTGAAATATTGCAAGAATTTTATTCAACAAAACAAAAGATATTCTAAGATTGACAAAATTTGAAAGAGAGTCATGACCCAGGAAGTTGATTGAAAGATTTTTTGCTAAAACTGATCACTAATAAAATACTGAAACTTCATTTGGAAGAAACGAAAATGTCTTAAAATTTGAATGTCGCCTCTAACCCGCTCAGAACACTTCTGACAAAAAAAAACGTTGGACAAAATTGAAAAGAGTGTTTTTTTTATGAGTCAAAATCTATCTTACATAAGTATTTAAAAGAAAACATTCTTTAATAAAAAGAATATATTCCAAGTTTCATAATATTATTTGTTTGTGACCCATGGAAAAAATACCATTTTTCAAAAAAGAAAATGTAATTTCGATGTCAATCGAGTTAATATTTGATCAACAGATTTCTCAACTCATTTTTTATTACAATTTAACTGTCAATTTTGTTGATGTATTGAAAACAAAAAAATTCTTAAATATTTATTCATTCTTCTTTTTGCTACATTTGTACTAATATTTGAACAAAAAAAAACTTAATGTACTTGTAAAGATTTGACATCATATATATATATATATATAGAAAATGATTACTTTAAGATTAATCGACCTTCAGCTTAAAATCCTTTTCTATTGCAACTTGTATTAGAGATAATCTCTAAGCGTTTCAAACAAGATATAAAAATCATAAGAATTTTTTTTCCTTGAGAATACTTTTCATTACTCACAAAAGAAAAAAAAACACACCAACACAATTCTTTCGATTATTCTAATGAAAATTATTATTTATATTTTTATCATAATAAGTTTTATTTATTAATAGAATATCTCGTACTATTTAACATCTGGATTATACTATTAATTTTATTTTTTTTTAGAGAAAGTCATTCACAATTAATTGAAATTTCTTTTTGTTTTCATCATTTGAAGAAAAAAAATTAATTCATTTAATATATCTATAGGCTTTTAATTTTATTTAAAAAAATGTTAATCGTAAATAACTAAAACACTTCTCGCAATAGCTTTCTAATAGAAGGATTTGTCAAAAACAAAAAAGAAAAAATTTCTTTCACATAATCTACATAATCTTTTTTTCATTATTTTTTTATAATAGAAATTTTGATCATTCTATAATACATACTTAGAAAATATCTAATAAATAATAATTCAATTTTAAAATAAATAGATATAAATATTCCAACAAAAAAAAAAATCTCATTCCTTATCAATCAATTTTAAATTTCATTATAAATGCCATTTTATATCATTCTATGAATTATTTACTTATCTTTCATAAATCAAAATAATTCGAATATATACATATAGGAAATATTGTTTTGCTAATTGTTCATTTAACTTAATAAGACATATTTTCTTAACAATGTGCATAAGAATGTTACATAATTTTTGTGAGTCATAATAGTTTATATGATGGTTGTTATTAACCAATCAAATAATTTGAGATATTTTATTTATTTATTTTGATATTTCTTTTATTTTTTTTAAGCTTGTCAAAAGCAAACATTGTCTTGTATTTATGTTTTTTATTAGAATGAGAAAGAAAGAAAGAAAAAAAGTAAGTTAAAATTTCTTCTTCTTTTTTTCGTTCGATTATATATATATATATATATATATGTCAATTTGTTTTACAACAAACATACTTTATTCTTTTTCTATTTGTCTTTATATACTTCTATTTGCTTTTACACTCTAGAGTGGTTTAATTTATCGATCAATTGATGAGAGAAAAAAACGTCCTTATGCTTTCGCCTCTTCCCTTGTTCGTTCGCTCTAGGTAGCGTTAATTGCCGTATGTCATTGATGATGAAACTGATATGTTATCGTTTTTTTTTACTACTCTCTCCATCTCGCCATCTTTATCATCATTATTCGTTCTTAATAATAAGTATATAGATATATAAATATATAAATAAGCATGCTAAGACATGAAATGATTCTTTTCTCTCGTCAACTACTACTGCTGTGGATGTTATGAATGTGTAAATGCTTTTCAACGACTTCTTTCTTTTCCTTTTCTCCTCCTTTTATTTCTTACTGAGAATTATTTGCGTGGTTATATTACACGCTTTACATTCTTCGCCATTTCTATCAACGATTGGTCTTACCTTCATTCTCCTTTTTCTTTTTCTGTTTCTTTCTCTTTTTATTTGTTTCTTTGTCTACAGCTTTTCTCTCTCTCTCTCTCTCTCTCTCTCGTCGTCTGCATCATGTTAACTGATTAGCACTTCTCTTTCCGAGCAAGAATGTATTTTGGCATGTGTCACTCGACGACAACGATGATGAGCGTAGAGTGAGAAGAAACACAACTACTCCCGACTAATGTCAACAATTCAACGAAGTCACAATATATATACATGCATACATACATTTAATCTCATTAACTTACACATCGTCAATTCTTTCTTGTTCGTACATATTTTACTGCTACATAAAATCACACCTGTATTGTATCTAAAATATTTTCCGATGAGAAAGATAAATGTTCGTAAAATGAACAAATATATATAGCCAGATTAATAATAAGAATATTCAGGTTTTTTTTTATTAATAATATCGATCGACTCGTATTCTTAGACATGAGTATGAACGTAAGTGTCTGTGTGTGTGATGTGCATGTGTATATGTTGTAAGTAGGAATGAACGATCGATGCGATGAAAGTGACACTTGAGAAGCTCGGCAAGCTCACGGACTGACTGACTTGATTAAATCAAAATAGAGCAACAGACATATGCACACACTCAAATATATATATATATATTATAGATCGATAGTATAAAAGAGCAAAAGAGAAAAAGAATAGATTCGGACATCTATAAATGACGACAATTGTTCGTACTGTTAGTACACATACATATATATATATATATGTGTGTGTGCTAAGCAAACAACAATAAAGGAGAAAGAAAAGTAGTTGAGCAGGCTGCTCAATCTGCTTAACATTTTAACTTTCTTTCACATATACACGCCATATGATTGTCTATTTTTGCATGCATGCATGATTCCATTTGCGTGTAATATTAATAGAGCGAAGAATGAAATGAGAATGTAGTCGCATGCGTAGATATATATATATATATATATGTTGGTTTCATTCACTTTCATAGCTAGTTGAAGATTCGCACCACTACATCGTTTAACTCGTTTTTCTTTTTTTTCTATTGTCAATCATTATCGTAGCGTCGCATTGCGCTCTCCTTCGTTTCCCTACTACTACTACCACCATCATCATCAATCTTGGCTAGTTTCCGTTTCTCTTCTCTTCTCTTCTCTTCATCTTCTGCTTCTTTGCTTCATTCATTCATTCATGTCTTTGATGAACAGAGAATAGTAACAACAGCACGGTAGGAAATAGGAAGAAGGCAGAAACTCGTAGCCTCTAGACACTGTTTGCACGTCATCGACAACTCTCATCTTTTTCATTTCTTTTTTTTTTTTTTTATTTCTTTCTCTCTTCACTTTTTTCTATAGTTTGATATATATTATATACACGCACGTTCTGTTCTCAAGTGGACACACACCTTGACATGATCAGTTAGGCGCAATATCGATATATCGATAGATATATATACATTTACATACAAGTCAACTTAGATACACATGACAATTTGCGATGGCTATCGCATCTTCTCGCTTTTCTATCTTGTTTTTCTTTCTTGTCCTTCATCGTCTACGTCTATTTGCATGAAGATTGATGTACATACAAACGCATACACACACATCCATATATATATATATATGTATATATATATATACATCCATATTGATTATCGTTGTGCTTGTTGAGAGAGGGTGAGATGAGAGAAAATTCTTGTTACTGTTGTTGTTATTTCTCTTAGTTAGTAACAGCAGGCGAACATAGTTTTTATAATGAGAAGATGGGATAAATATGTTTAGTTATTGTTATTGATCAGAATTCACCTATTTCTAATCGAAGGATACTTGATGTAATCAAATTGTACTTGTGTCTATGTATATATACACATGTCTATGTTCTTCCAATCAAGAACAAATGTCAAAGAGAATAATACACATTAAAGCAACGATGTGTGCAAGAAACTTATTTGCCTACATCATTCCACTAACTACATCTTCATCATCTCCTATTTCTCATTTTCTTGTCGGTATTCTCATCGTTGAAATGCTAATCGTTCTCTATCCTAACACACACACACATATATATATATATATAGATATATATATATATAGTCCCAGTCACACAATTATTTTGAATAAGCACGCGTAGTCATTGTGCGCTCTCGCTTTCAATACTCTATTACTGATGCGTGTTGTCCTTTGGGCATATATGTGTAGCACGAACGACGACTTTTGATCTTTTTTGTTGTTTTCTATGCTTATATGATGGTAATATTACTAGCCTTTTGTCCTCTTCTTTCGCTCGGTCGCTCATTGCGACCGCGATTAATTAAGTATCTTTCCTTTCTTTCTTTCTTTGTTTCTCTATCCATGTCCATTCATTCATTCATTCATTCATCCATCCATCCCCATCCATCTATCTATCTATATCCCTCATGGTGTGTGTAAATTGGACACTTGTAGTCGAGGGGGAGAAAAGAAACGCATTCTCTTTTGTGCTTCGTCGACGACTAGTGTGTTTTTCTTTTCCTGTATGTATGTAAC